ATAACATTGAATAAAGAGGCTCGGCTTACGTATATTGCTCTTTCCCATTGTTATTGAGGTTATCATTGTCATTTAGGCTGAACTGAGTATTCATTCATTTGGTTTTATCATGTGCGTTTCATCCCCAGGGGCAAGAATTCCATGGATATCATTTTGTACATGGCTCCTATAGTTGATATGGTTTTACTTCATACAACGCTCATCATAGAAGAAATCGTGATCGATATCACACTTTGCCCTTGTCCGAGATAATATCAAGATCATTCGGTGTCTCTTATTCAATTCGACACTAGCACATCTTGTGAATTTGACCAACTTTTTGGTCATGAAACACGCCAGCAACTCATTTGTATCCCAACTGAGTTTTGTTCTCAAGTGGTTTGATGACATCATACAAAAGCTTTGAACACTGTGCAAAGAGTTTCCCTGAACATCAATCCGAGCAGAAACCACAACAAATGACGAATGTGTTGTCAAATGTTTACGAACATCTAAGTAAAAGCCATAGCTGGATGAATATGTTGTCAAGCATTTTATGAACCAGTTATTCTAATGCTAAACCAATGTTGCGATCATATGTTTTCCATTTGTTAATCCAAGATCAAAATTGTCTTTTTCAACCCCAAGGTCAGAAATGAGATATGATGAGGATTTCTTTCCACAAAAGGGAAGTTGAAAATTTTAAACAAGAAACTAGTGAAGCCAACTAAGGTTGAACGACAGGTTGTTATTAAGCATCTCGACGGTCCAAGTTACCTTGTTCGAGATCCAATTATATGTGGAGACATGAAAGGAATTAGGATAAATCCTCCTTAAGATCTGTTTCAAGAGTCAAATCAGAACAGACGCTGATCTCCTAATTAATCCCTGCTGAGTCAGGCATATCTACATATACACACTTCAAAGATGATAGATTCTCTTTTCAAAGATGAAAGTTTTATTGAATTTCTATACAAGTCTAGATAAAGAAAGCTGATGTTATCAAAGACAAAATGGGGCATCAAGGTCATAGTTCTGACTACGGCAAGAGTTCCATACATGAAACATTTCTTCTGAGATTTTAATGCAAACAAAGAATATACAAAGATACCAGTTGATCAAATGGTTCTTCAGCTTTATGGCATAAGTTGCTACACTGATATCCGGAGGTAACCCTAGAAATAAATAATGAAGTGAAGGAAGACCACGTTCATCACTTTGAAGTCAAATGAAGAATGCATCAACATTCATGCATAAGAACATCATTTGTACAATAGATAATGCATTACATTGATACATCTGGTTGCATTCAAACATAAGGTCTTTTTCAGATCTTCGTATGAACAAGAAGATTCATACCTTACAAGAAGAAGGTAGAATTCAAAACCTCAAATACATGAATCACGCAAACATCTGAAGAAGAGATGGACGCAATCCACAAGAATGAGCATTATCTTGAGATTGGGGCATGTTACCCAATCAACATATTATTTAAAAAAACAATGAGAAAACGCTTTCCTAAGTTTCTCATTTAATCTTTTCTAAAAATGAAATTGTTGAATAGTAAGAAAACGATTTTCGTAGAGCATTATCTTGAGATTGGGGCATGTTACCCAATCAACATATTATTTAAAAAAACAATGAGAAAACGCTTTCCTAAGTTTCTCATTTAATCTTTTCTAAAAATGAAATTGTTGAATAGTAAGAAAACGATTTTCGTAGTTTCTTACTTAGTAAACTATTTCCCACATCTGTAAGTCCTTCAGTGCATGATGTTTTCAAAAAACCTTCGGGTCATCTGTAAGTCCTTCAGTGCATGATGTTTTCAAAAAACCTTCGGGTCATCTGTAAGTCCTTCAGTGCATGATGTTATCAAAAACCTTCGGGTCATCTGTAAGCCCTTCAGTGCTTGATGTTTTCAAAACCTTTGGGTCATCTTTAAGCCCTTCAGTGCATGATGTTTTCAAAACCTTCAGGTCATCTGTAAGTCATTCAGTGCTTGATGTCTTCAAAACCTTCGGGTCATCTGTAAGTCCTTCAGTGCCTGATGTCTTCAAAACCTTCGGGTCATCTGTAAGCCCTTTAGTTCTTGATGTTTTCAAAACCTTCGGGTCATCTGTAAGCCCTTCAGTGCTTAATGTCTTCAAAACCTTCGGGTCATCTGTAAGTCCTTCAGTGCTTGATGTCTTCAAAACCTTCGGGTCATCTATAAGTCATTCATTGCTTGATATTTTCAAAACCTTCGGGTCATCTGTAAGCCCTTCAGTGCTTGATGTTTTCAAAACCTTCGGGTCATCTGTAAGCCCTTCAGTGCATGATGTTTTCAAAACCTTCGGGTAATCTGTAAGTCCTTCAGTGCATGATGTTTTCAAAGCCTTCGGGTCATCTGTAAGACCTTCAGTGCATGATGTTTTCAAACATTTCCATCCTACCAAATGAAAAATTATTGTCTTTTTCGTCTTTGCTCTATTCTTGTTAACACAAGAATAAGCAAAGAGGGGCAGCTGTAGACGCTAATTTTTCAGTTTGTTTTTATTATTATTATTATTATTATACATTATTATTATTATTATTATTATTATTAAATAAATATTACAAAGCCCAAAATCTGGCCCATTTTACAAAACTCGGATGGCCCAAAACGGTCCAGGCCCAAGCTTAAACCTAACCCTAATGATACAGGGTTTGTATCATCTCATCAACAGCCAGCCGCCCCAGATCCAACGGCCCACACGCATCCAGAACAAACCATAGGGTGATGATACCCTAGGGACCACGCGGCGGCGCCTCTGCTTCCAACCGCCCCACGACGACGTTCCAGCTGCTGCCGCCCTCACCAGAAGCCTCCAGAAGACCTTAACGACCATCCACGTCGCAACTATGGGGTGAGTCACCACATAGTTCGGTGACTCACCGAGAAATCCCTTTGGGACCGGTCCAACGAGAGCGTCATCGAGACTATAAAGCCTCGGTTCACCTGCAAACAAGAAGAAGTCAGCAAACAAGAAGAAGGCAGCGAGCAAGAACGAAGAACATAGCAACCAAAACAGAATCGACAGCAAAAAGAGAGGAGAGACGAAGAACTGACCACAACAGCGAACCAAACAACACCCATAGCAGCGAATCGAAAACAAAGATAGAAGAAAGGAAAAGACTTACCCTCGGGAAGCCCAAGCATAGCCGGAAACTGTGTAAAAACCAAGGTAAAATCGTCGGTTTGTTTTCTTCATTTACTCCGATTAGGAGATTTTTAAGGAAAACTAGGGCTAGGTTCGGCTTTAGGGGGTTTAGAGCTCCATTTTGGGATATTTTGGGATTTTTCGGCCACCGTGACAGTGGCCGGTGGTGGTGACCGACGCCGGAGCACGGCTGTCGGCCGGTGGTCTCCTTCTCTGTTTTAGAGAGAAAACAGAGCTTCTCTCTCTAAGAGAGAGAAGCCGAAAAATGAAAATGAGAGGAGATGGCCATTTTAGGCCGGATTTAGGGTATTTATACCCTCTCCCAAACGACGCCGTTTTGAGGGAGGGTATATGTGTAATTTCCCTTTTGGGAAAATCATTTCCGCAACACCTACAGATTCGTAACATTACAATTTAGTCACATGAATTAATTGCTAATCCTTTTAATTTAATCTCCTAATTTTATTTTATTTTATTTTAGTCATAATCTGCATATATATTTATTTAAGGTAAATACCTAATTTAGTCCCTTACAGTTTAGTAATTATCATTTTAACCCGAATTAATTAAATAAGGCTAAATTACATTATTAGCAGTTAGATCTTTTTATTATTCGATTTAGAACCTTTAATTTTAATAATTATCATTTTAATCACCTATTAATAATTAGGGTTAATTACATCATTAGTAATTATATTTTTATAATACTATAAATAAGGGCTATAAAATTTTAATTTTTATTATTTTAATATGTTTTAGTCACTATTTAATTGTAATTTAATTTGTATTATTATCATTTCAGTTCTAATATGTTTAAATGATTACTTTAATTATTATTTTATTATTTTAGTAATATATATATATATATATATATATATATATATTGTTTAATTGATAATATTTATTTATTTTTAATATTAAAGAAAAGCACAGTCTTAAAGAAACTAGATGTCCTATTCTGATATTTTAAAAATAAATAAATATTCTACTTATAAAAACCAGAAAATACATATTATTTTATTTAAATTATTTTCTTAGAAAAATAATATTTTAAATATATATTTATTTTTCAATATTAAGAAAGGGCATTCTTAAAGCAACTGGATGTCCATTTTCTGATATTTTTAAATAAATATTTTACTTTTATCAAATATATATATTAATAGAAATGTTTTATTAATATTTATTTTTAAGAAATAAGCTGTCTTAATGTACCTAAAAGCCCTTTTCTGATATTTCTAAATAAATAAATATCTTATATATATATATATATATATATATATATATATAAACTAATATATTTTCTTAAAATTATAAATTTGAAATAACATGATTACAAATTAAATATAATTTTAAATTTTTAAATTTTCAATAATAGAGACAATTTATAATTAATAAGTACCAATTTTGGGCATTGTGGGGTGCTAAACCTTCCCCAAACGTAATCGACCACGAATTCTTTTTTATTATTAAAAAGAACGAATTTTTGGTTAAAACGCATACCAGTTTATCTTTTAACTGATGTTTTCTTAAAAACTCTTTTAAAAGCTAATTTTTAGGTATTCGACCTACCTGACCCAAAAGGCCGATGGCGACTCCCAAAATATTTTAAAACCATTTATTCACATCATTTTCCCGCCAAGTAAAAATTTCGTATCCGGACGAAAACCGGTTACGTCAATTAGCTCATACACAAACAAGAACCAGTTTTAGAAATTTATGCATTGTTTTTTTGTCATATTTTCCTTTTTGTCCTGATATTGCCAAGCTTTTGATTACTAAAAACCAGTATGAGTGTTCAAAATACATGTGTGCTAATGGAAACAAATCTATTCTCATACCGGCTTTAAGAACATCAGCTACAGCATCCTCTGGTAACTTGGCATATCCTTGTTCCTCATGAATGATGGAGACAGCATCACAGTCTGATGTTATATACCTGGTTATATTTCAATCAAGAAAAAACAGTCATCTGCCTGAATTAACCTGTCTTTTTGTGTCATTAACACTGTTATTTTTAATTAAAAAAAAGGCAATAGTTTGTCATTATTACCCGTTTAAACCCCACTGTCTTCTTGCTGTTTCGGACAAGAGATTGTAGTCTGCACAATTGGGGACTCCATTAACAAGATTATAAGCACACATTATGCCACTGGCTTTCCCTTCTTGTATGCATCTCCGAAATGGAGACATATATGTATCTGCTAAATCCTGTTGACTAACCTGAAATCCAAAAAAAGGAAAGAGTAGCAGATAAATAATCAATAGAAAGGGGATCTTCCAAACCATTCAAACCCAAGCAGAGTTTATGTTTACCTATGCAGTGAAGACAAATCGGTTCACTCCTTTCCAGTTATCCAAATCATAAGCTGTGAAATGCTTACAACAAGCTGAAGCTTGAAGATCTTCACCAAGTTTCCCTCCTTTAAAAGTGTCCCCTTGTCTCCCTCTCACGAATGAGACTGCATATTTCCCCGTGACAACAGGATCCTCGCCTGGTGTTTCTTGCCCTCTTCCCCACCTCGGGTCCCTGAATATATTAATGTTTGTCGCCCAAAACGTCATCCCTGTTCCTTGTCCGGCATTGTATATTGTTCTAGCCTCCCTTCCAACTGCCCGTAAGCAATGAACTGAAAAATTAATAAGTAGTAAATAAAAGCAAAAGGAAGGGTCTTTGTGTTTCGAATTAGATACTTGCCTGACCAATGCGGTACCAAAGATGAACATCGAAGGAAGCAGCAGTGAGAATGACCTGAGGAAAACTGGTGGCGGATTGAATTGTTCAGTTGAAACGCATACCTGAGTGTACGGTGGAGAAAAAGGCAATACCATGTAGGGCTTCAGACCACCATTCGTACTCGGGGATGCCAACTCTTGGAATGACCGGAGAATGACCGGAGCTGTGTTAACGAGCTGGGACATCTTGTCATCTAGTGTGAGCCTGGAGATTAGATCTTGGACTCTGGCCGATGGAGAGTCTACTGTTGCAGAATGGGTAAGATTTGATTGGTGGGTGAGATGATGAGTCACAGGAAAATGGAGGCCGAGTTGAGTCTGCTAAGAGAAACAGCAGTGAGCTAATGTGAATGAGGGCTAGGAGAGAGGGTTTTTAAACTTCATCTTTGTGACTTCCCGTGTTTTGAAAATCGGATCGAATCGGCCGGTTCAACCGAAAATTGTTGTCTAGTCTGGTTCAATCTAGACCGGTTGAGCAGCTACTAGTGAACCGGCCGGAACCGCTGAACCGTTCAAACTGGACCGGCTGAAAATCGGAAAAAACCGCCAATTTTGTTTTTTATTTTTTAAATTAAACCAAACGACGTCGTTTGTTAAACGAGTCAAGTCGAACTCGAGTATTGCTGAACTCGACTCGAACTTGAAAACTTTAAAAGTAAGCTCAACTCTACTCAAACTCACGAGCTAAAAATTATCAAGTTCAACTCGAACTCGAAATATATTATTGAAACTTGAACTCGAAAAGGCTTGAACTCAAAAAAAAATTTAGAAGCTCGATTGAAGCTTAAAATTCGAGCTTAATTGAAGTGAAAGAATAGTTCACTCAATGCTCACCAAAAGACTATGATTTTGAATGACAAATTACCTCTATTATTTATAGAAGTTAGTTGGGATGATCTTCTATGGTTCTTAGCCATGTGAGATTGTTTTTTTAAAAAAATTAAACCAAACAATATTATTTTGTTATGCTTTTTTTAGCCCCAAATTTATTTTTTAATTATAGTTATATAATTATATTTATTATTTAATATGTTTTACCTTAAATATTATGTTGTAGTTAATTTAAATCATTTTGTTTCACTTGATTTTATGGTTTTTAACTTATATATGTTATGGCTTGCTTTGAATATGAATTGTGATATAAAAATTTATTTTTTATTAAATAGTTTTGGTATTTTTATTTAATTTTTTAAATAATTATGACGTCGTCCGGTTCTTCCAATTGGTCAGATCGATTCGACCGGTTGAACCAGTGAACCAGTAGCATGACCGGTTCACTAACCGGTCCGGTTCTGAAAACCATGGTAACTTCTTTGGACAGGAAAGTATATAAAAAATAAATATTTTATAGGACCAACAAGAGTCACAGTTTCATTGCTTGCTCTGTCTTTTGCAGTCTCAGTCAAATCTTACAACAAATTATTTTATCCAAGTACACATATGATGGCTCTGACTACTCACCCTGTTGAAGAATCCGGTAAAGAAAACGAAAGAACACAAGAATTTTAACGAGGTTCGGCAATGTGCTTACATCCTTAGTTCCTAGACTGCGCTAGAAGTTTTATTCAATATCTCATAGGTTTATGTTACATCTCTATTTATAATAAAAAATCTGGTACATAATTATATAATTAACCTTGTAAATGTTCGCTTCGCTCACTCCGCTCCATCCCCTGTCCTCTTTACTGATATATTTATTAGCTATACCTAACAAATCTCCACCTTAGCGAATATCCTGCACTTGGAAACTTCAATATGGGTTAGGTTACCTTACTTCTTTAACAACTCAAAACATTCAACAAGTCCAGACAATGCTTGAACTTGTCTATCATAACTGACTTGGTGAACATATCAGCGACATTCTCATCAGTATGTACCTTCTGAAACAAAACCTCTCCAGATGCAACAAACTCTCTGATCTTGTGGAACCTTACATCAATATGTTTAGTTCTAGCACGATACACCTGATTCTTAGCCAAGTGAATAGAACTTTGATTGTCACAAAGCAACTGAACTCCACCTTGCTGAACACCCAACTCCTTCACTAAATCAGTAAGCCATAAAGCTTCTTTTGCAGCTTCAGTCGTTTCCATGTATTAAGCTTCAGTTGTAGATAATGGAACAACAAATTGAACAGTAGACTTCCAACAAATAGGCCCTCCACCAAGAGTAAACGCATACCCTGTCGTAGATCTTCTATTATCCAAGTCACCTGCATAGTTTGAATCCACATATCCTACAACCAAAGGATTATCCCGTTGACTACCAAAAACAATTCCATGTTCCACAGTACCCTTTAAGTACCGAAAGATCCTCTTGACTGCTTCCCAATGTTGCTTACCAGGTTTAGACATGTACTTACAAACTTGACTAACAGCATGAGCTAAATCAGGACGAGTACATACCATTGCATATATCAAGCAGCCAACAACATTAGAATACTGAACCTTTTCCATATCTTCAGCTTCCTTATCTGTCTTAGGGCACTGTTCTGATGAGAGTTTAAAGTGATTCGCCAATGGAGTGCTCACTGGTTTTGCGCTGCTCATCGCAAACCTTTGTAGCACCTAAATCTTTCATATCAAATTCCTTACTCAATAAAGTTTTCAAACCGATAACATCATCCATGTTCTTTACAACAATTAACATATCATCAACATATAGTAACAGAAAAATAAAAGAACCATCATCAAGGATCTTAACATAGACACAACAATCATACTCACATCGGTTGTAGCCAATCTTGATCATATAGGAGTCAAACCTTTTATACCACTGTCTCGGAGACTGTTTCAACCCATACAAAGATTTCTTCAATCTGCAAACTAAATGCTCGTTTTCAGGTTGAGTGAAACCTTCAGGCTGCCGCATGTAGATCTGCTCTTCTAAATCACCATGCAAAAAAGCAGTTTTAACATCCATATGCTCTAAATACAAATCCAAACTAGCCACTAATGCAAGTACTGCTCGGATTGAAGTGTGCCTAACCACAAGAGAAAAAATTTCATCATAATCAACTCTTTTCTGTTGTGAAAAACTCTTTGCTACCAAACGAGCCTTGAACTTATCCCCCTCTTTTTCTGTTATTGTTGGTTTCTTCTTATACACTCATTAGCAATCAATCGACATCTTTCCTTCAGGAAGGCGAACCAACTCTCATATACGATTGTGATTCAAAGATTTCATCTCCTCAACCATGACAACCATCCACTTGTAGTTTTCCTGACTAGTAATGGCATCATGAAAAGTAACTGGATCATCACTGCTAACAGTAAGTGCAAAAGAGACCAAGTCTTCAAAACCCAATCTGTTCGGGGGCTTTATATTCGTCCGTCTCACCCTGTCTCTGGCGAGACTATAATCCTGCAAATCATTCGTAGCGGAACCACCAGAAGTCGGTTGAGAAGTTTCTGGTTTCTCAACTGGAAACTGCTCGAAATCCACCACTGTCGTGTCTTTCTTCTGCTGCAACATAGGCTGTTCATCAAAAACAACATCTCTACTGATCACAATTTTCTTCGCAACTGGATCCTAGAACTTGAATCCTTTGACACCTTTCTTGTAACCCAGAAAAATGCACTCATTCGATTTTGCATCAAGTTTGGATCTCTCATCAGCAGGTACATGTATATAAGCAGGACAACCAGAAATCCGTAACTGATCAAAACTAACATCATGACCAGTCCATACCTCTTCTGCAACTTTCCCAGCCAATGATGCCCTTGGCGATCTGTTGATAAAATAACACGCCATGTTAACAGCCTCAGCCCAGAAGTGTTTGGGAAGCCCCGCATTCAACCGCAAACATCTGGCTCTTTCATTCAATGACATGTTCATCCGTTCCGCAACACCATTTTGTTGTGGTGTCTTGTGCACTGTAAAATGTCTCTTAATCCTATACTCCTTATAGAAGTGTAGAAACTGTGAATCTGTGTACTCTGTACCATTTTCAGATCGCAAACACTTGATTTTTTGTCCTGTTTGGTTTTCTACCTCAGCTTTCCACAGCTTGAACTTCTAAAAAACGTCAGACTTCTGTATCAAAAAGTACACCCAAACTTTCTGTGAAAATCGTCAATAAAAGTAACATAATACCTAGATCCACCCAAAGATGATGTCGTGGAAGGCCCTCATACATCAGAATGCACATAATCAAGAATCCCTTGAGTTGTGTGCTTCACAGTCTTGAAACGGACATTAGTCTGTTTACCAATAACACAATACTTGCAAAAATCGAGCTTACAACTTTTGACACCATGCAACAAATTTCTTTTGTGTAATTATGTCATACCACGTTCACTAAGATGAGCAAGACGCATATGCCACAGTTTTGTAGTATCATCACAGGACTCAACAAAATGAACTCCACCTACAACGGTACTCCCTAACAATCTGTAAATATTCCCTTTAGTCGTCTTTCCTTTCATCACAATCAAAGCTCCTTTAACAATCCGACTGGTTTCCCTATCCTCATCAGCCTTAGGGATAAAACCATTCTTGTGCAAAGTGCCCAAAGAAATCAAATTCTTCTTCAAATATGGGATATGCCGAACACCACTCAACGTCCGAACAGAGCCATCATACATCTTTATTATGACATCACCAATACCAACAATATTGCAACATCGATCATCAACCAAATAAACAGAACCAGAATTAACGGACCTGTATGTCGAAAAACATTCCCTATTTGGCGTGATGTGATAAAAACATCCAGAATCAAGAATCCAAACATCTGTTAATTGAGTCGTTGAAATAGAGAGCATATCACCCTCACTGCAATCAGAATTGTCATCCTCGACCATATTCACAGACTTGGATGAATAATCACGCATCTCATCAGTCTGTTTTTTCAACTTCGGACAGTCTCGCTTCATATGTCCCGCCTCCTTGCACTTGTAACAGTGAATTGTCTTCTTATCCCTATATTTGGATCTGGAATTCCGCTTGCCAGACCCTGCCTTCTCTGGCTTTCGTTCACGGTCTCGATTACCCTTGACATATAAGCTATCGGCTTGAGAGCTTTCCCCGGCATTCTGCTTCCGCTGGTTGTGAGCCAACAAGGCTGCAATAATCTTCTCAACGTTGATAGTCTCTTTCCCATAAGTAAGAGTAGTCATCATGTGTTCGTAAGAAGGAGGCAACGAACACAACAGAATCATCGCTCTGTCTTCATCCTCAATTTTCACATCAAGCCGAGCCAAATCAGAAACAATTTGATTGAAGACATTCGCGTGTTGTGCCAAATCATGATCGTCCTGCATCTTCAGCCCATACAGTCGCTGCTTTAGATACAGTTTTGTCATTAAGGATTTGGACATAAACTGACTTTCCAACTTCCTCCAAATTTCTTCTGGAGACGACAGATGCATGACGTGATAC